AATCAAAAATAATTATGACAGTCGGGATAATATGGCAAGTAGTTTGGTAAATGTCGCTTCATATAATCTTCGAGGAGTTAGATAACCACCCAACGAACAAGGCACTAATGATTATCAAAGTGTGTAAAACTAAGCTAAGGGGAAACTTAGCGGTTTCTATACCTCTAGACCATCAATATATGGCGAATAAATTCTAGCTAAAACTTAAAGCATCGAAGTACCGATAAAAGACGTAAAATACAAGTAAATTAAATCTAATTGATAATTTAAGGCTAAATCATTTATTATAGAGATACAATGTTTCAAGGCACAGCACAGCATTTATTGGCAAGTAGTCCATCTCTTATTATAAACAAGGAATATGAAAAACCTAGATATGGTGATGCATCTATTTAATTCAAGCATCCAACTTATTTGCCTAATCATCGTAAGTTAAATGGTTTAAAAGTATAAATTTAGCGAATAAAAAGACCGAGATAACTCTTGAGCATTAAGAAATGCAAAGAGTTCCGTTATCTACCAGAAGAAGAGGTATATTGATGCAAGATAACGTTGATCTAAAACAAGAATTCTTAAAATCTGTGGATTTTGAAACAACTAAAGGATTTAAAACTCTAAACCTTGAAACAGATAGATATAAGGATGAACTAGATCATCTTCATTCAAGTATAGATTCCTTGTTTTATAATATTTAATACTAGGAGTCACTGTTGATCCAGCAAAACTACAATAGTTTCATAGTCCTTTCTAGTGGCAAGAAACTCCAAGATAAAATCCCTAACTACATTACTAGAGTCCTCTTGTCTCTCGGAGAATGAATATAAATCACATTAAATATGACGATTAGTACTATCAGTAAAGACCTGAAGGATTAAAGCTTGATATGAATTAATTGAGGAATCAAAGTATCACATATTAAGATTTCTAAATTAAAAAAGAGAGCTTTGATAAGGAAAGAGCATTGACTTTCAGAAAGTATATTGACAAGCATGGGACATCATCTACTCAGATGATTTAGTGATTAAAAATTGAAATGATTGAGATCAAATTAAAGTGATGATAAAATGATATATTTATAATTTAGATGATTTTAACTGCTATTTATTAAAAAGTTAATTAGTTGCTGTTAATTAGTGCTTCAATCTCTGAATGTTTAAGCTAGCTATGAGATCGATGAAAAGTCTCAACTTTCATACTCTCTGACAGCTAAAAACAAATAGCGACTTTAGCGAATAAATATCGTCATTTTCATTTTGATATTCCTCTTCAAATGAGGTCAACGCAGTGATCTGATGACTGCTAGTGATAGTTAAAATTAGATTAGTGTCTGTAGTCGTTAAAATAGGGATGATTTAATGCTTCTTTAGCAGAAATTCTTTTGCTTGGTTCCAGTTATACCATTTTGCTTAATAAATCAATTGCAGTTTCATCCATGTTTTGACTCAATTTCGTCAAATTCTGATATGCATCTACTTTCCAGTGTGGAAAGGTGAACTTGAATTCTGGAAGCTCACCGATTCCTTGCCATGTTTCGTCACTTGGAGTGCCCATTATCTTGAAAATTTTGAAAATCTAACCTATTTCTGAATCGCCATAGAAGAGTGGTCTTTTATGTGCCATTTCGTAGAATATGCAACCTACTGACCACATATCAACGGCAGTGGAGTAAACCTTTTGGCCGAGTAATATTTCTGGTGCGCGATACCATAGCGTTACTACCTCGTGAGTATAAGATTTCAGTGGTAAACCAAATGTTCTAGCTAGACCGAAATCTGCTATTTTTAGATGCTAGCCCTTAGAGTCTATCAAAAGATTACTTGGTTTTAAGTCTCTGTGCATAATCCTTCTCTTGTGACAATGCACTAGACCCTAGAGAAGCTAGTACAACATTGACTTAACAGTTGGTGTTGTCAGGGGTCCACCATTCTAGTCAAGGTATTTTTTGAGATCTAAGTTGAAGTATTCAAATATCAGGTAGAGTTTGTTCTCTCCATGTACAATATCCTTAAGGTGAACAATATTTTAATGTCTCAGCTCTTGAAGTAAGGCAATCTCCCTTATTGCGGTACTTGGGATTCCCTCATCTGCATGTTCAAGGCGTATTTTCTTAAGTGCAACTATCTATTTAATTAATGTTAACGCTCTGAATTTATAATGAGTATAATGGAGAAGCAAAAGAAATCACGAAAGATGTAGTACTCTCCCATGATTTTATGCGGTTATTTAACAATTAAATATCTCATATTTGTTTTTTATTACTTACCTCACCTGTTTCTCTATCTCTAGACTTGTAAACAATACCATAGGTACCTTCGCCAAGTTTCTCCATGCGTTCATATCTGGCATCAGTCTCATCCTGACCACAATCTTATTACTGTTGGATTTTATGCTTCTCAGCTGAGTCTGAATTAGCGTTTAACATAGGTTAGTCAACTTAATTACTGATCATTTTTAGAATTAGAATTAATTATACAACTTTAAAACATAACGACTATAATAACTGTTGGGGTTTTGGGGTTTTGGGGTTTTGGGGTTTTGGGGTTTTGGGG